TTAAAGAGGGCACGTTCTGCGTGGAGCACTGGGTGTTATGCACAAACAATGAATCTTGGAACACTGCATCAAAAACTAATGATGTAATGTCTGGTGATTAACATAACAATAAAAAAATTAAAAAAAAATTGTGTGGAATGAAAGAAGCCAGACCAAAAAAAAGACCACATGTTGTATGATCCCATTTATATGAAATGTCTAGAATAGGCAAATCCATTTGCCTATTTTCTTAGGGGGGAGGGGAAGAGGACTGGGAGGAAGTCGGAAGTGACTACGAAAAGGTACAGGGTTTCTTTTTGGAAGGGATAAACTCGTTCTAAAATCAGTTGCAGCGATGGTTGCTCAACTCTGTAAATACACGAAAAACCATTGGATTGCACACTTCAAATTGGTGAATTGTATGCGCATTATATTTCACTTAAAGCCATTATAATACAAAAGTGATACACGTTCATTATAGAAACAGGAGAAAATCAGAAAAGTAAAAGGAAGAAAAAGAAACTCACTTCACATTTTTAAAAAACCTCATTTTCCAATTGTCCTCAGGACAATCTGGACTCCTGAGTTTCCTCAGGGTTGATTGAGTCAAAGGTGCTTACCCTGAAATCTTGCATGATTCATTCCATTTACTTCTCCAACACCATCTTTTATCATTTCCAAGTTGGCTCCCTATGTTTCAACTGTAACAAACTAATTGCAAATCACGTACACACATCATTCTCCTGCCTGTGATTGTTGGTCCCTCTCTTCTTCATTTGGTTGTTTTCACCCATTAGGATTGGCTTAGATATCACTTCCACCATCTTTTCCTGACCCCAGGGGACTAGGTGTATCAAATCATTTACACTATGTACATTTCTAAGACGAAAAAATTAAATTAAAAACATATATGCCAACTGAAAAATGAAAAGATATTAAAGAGACCTCCAAGATCTCTGGGACAATATCAGAAGGTCTAAAATTCATGTCATTAAATGCACAGAGGGAGCAGAAAAGAGATTGGTGCAGAAAATAATTTTTGGATGAATAATTGCTTCAAATTTCCCAAAATTTGATCAACGACATAAATTTACAGATTCAAGAACTCTGTGAACTCCAAACTGTATAAACTTAAAAAAAAAATCACATAGATAATAAAACTGCCCAAAACGAATGAAGAAAAATCTTGAAAGCAGCTAGACAAAAATGACATAATACATATGGTAAAAATACTTTGAAATACTACAGATTTCCCATCAGAAACCAGGGAGGGCAGAAGACAAAGGAACGTCTTTAAATTGCCGAGAGAGTGGGGCGCCTAGCTGGCTCAGTCGGTAGAGAATGTGACTCTTGATCTTGGGGTCATGAGTTCAAACCCCATTTGGGGGTACAGTTTACTTAAAAAAAATAAATTGCTGAAGGAACTGCCAAACCAGAATTCTATATCCAGTGAAAGTACCCTTCAGGAATGAAGGCAAAACAAAGACATTCTCAGATGAAGAAAAACGAAGAGAATTTGCAAACAACTCTTAAAGAAATACTGAAGGAAGTTCTTTAGGCTGAACATAAAATCATACCAGAGAGAATCTTGGAACTTCGGGAATAAAGAGGAAGAGAAGTGGTAAATATAAAAGACTATTTTCCTCCTCTTAAGTTTTTAAAAAATATGTATGACTATTGAAAGCAAAAAAAATATCATAACATTGTCTGGAGGAGTTTCTAATGTATTTAGATATAACACTCATGAAACTTTAAAGGATCAGTCTTAGGGCGAAGTGGTCCTAAGGCTTTACTTCTTAAAAATGTATTTACAGTGGGGCTCCTGGGTGGCTCAGTTGGTTAAGCGCTGACTCTTGATTTTGGCTCAGGTCACGATCTCAGGCTCTTGGGATCGACCCCTGCATTGGGCTTCACACTCAGTGGAGAGTCTGCTTGACATTCTCTCTCTCTCCCTCTCCCTCTGCCCCTCCCCCTGCTCACACTTTCTCTCTCCAATAAATCTTTTTTAAAAATGTATTTACAGCAAAAGTCAGTTGAGTTTTGAAAAATGCACATAGTCGTGGAACCAATAGGATGGTCAAGATAGAGAGTAGTTCAAAAATAATGAATGTGGTCATTACTCCCCAAAGTTGACTCAGGCCATGTCGTATTAATTTTTTTTCTTCCCTCCCCACCTCCCCAGGCAACCAATGATAAGTTTCATGTTATTGGAGAGCACTTTGCATTTTCAAGATTTTCTATGAATGGAATCAGGGAGATTGTACCCTCTTTTTCTGGCTTCTTTCACTCAGCATAATAATTGTGAGATGCACTCGTGTTGTTGTTGCCAATTACACAGTAGTGTGTATCAGTGCATTGGATTCCCTTTGGGAAAACCAAGTGCACTGACAAATTATATGTGTGCGTATGTAAGTACCTACATGCACACGTAAGTGAGAGAGGTAAAGATTCTGAGAGACGCATTTTATATGCTAGCTGAACAGTTCTTGGTACAGTATTGTGGATATAGAGCCAGTATTATAAATGCAGGGAAGATATTTCCACTTTCTGAGGGACAGCATATTTTCCTGGAAAAGGTTGAGGTCTAGGAGTCAATAGACATAATTGCCTGACTAATAATCATGATATGATTACTGACTGAACAATCTCAAGTAAGCTATTTAGCCTCTCAGTGACTTAAATTCCTTGTTTTTGAGAAAACGGGGATAATGACAGCACTTCATAAGGTTGTTATGGGCTTTAAAATGAGATGAATAGTATAAAGCACTGGGCACAGAGCCCGACGCATAGCAAACAATCAGAAAGTGCCGGCTCCTTTTCTTTTCTACCATTTGATTTGCAGGGGAAGAAAATTCTCACCCTGCAAAAAAAAAAAAAAAAAAAAAAAAAAAAAGGCAATAGCTTCTTTGAGCTTAATTGTAATATCATAGTGCCATCTGTTGACCATATAGAACTATTACATTACTTGTACTGTAGAGTTCATTTCTGACAACACTCTACCACGTCTGAAAACCTGTATTTAAAATGTCCTCTCCAGTGTGGTCGGAGCTAGTGTTGTAAGGACGGGGATTGACGGCTTTACGGACTGTTCTGCTGAGCTTGGAGACCCCTCCCCTGCCTAGGTATCCTTCCTTGTTAAGAGGCAGGGATCAAGGAAAAAGGAGAGGCGTTTCTTCCATACCCTACCCTAAGATGGGCAGGTGAGATATTGAGTGTGGAAACGAGTGAATGAAGTCTTCTCGTCCATTAGGCTGATGGAGGAAGGAGATGGTATTTTCTTCTGTTGGGGGGTCTGGGGAGATGATGGGAGGAAGGAGTTGGTATTTTCTTCTGTTGGGTGGTCTGCACTTGAAAGATCTGGCCAGCATAGCTTTGGCTAGGAGTCTGATCCCATAAGGGTTTCAAAATCTTGCAACCCCAAATACCACACAAATATCCTTAAATGTGGAATAGAAGGGGTTTCCCCCTCTCCGTTCTCCCAAACTCCTCACCCCCCTCCACCCTGTTAGGCTCAGGTTGCACAGATTCCCCTATCCCCACTCCCAACTCTAGGGGCTCCAAAACGAGTCTCAAGAGATGGTCACTCCCGCCATCTTTCCTGGGCCAACAAATCAAGTCAAGACTGGTTGGTTTATTGAATGTGAACTTTATTGTGGTTTGGATTATGTAAGGCAGTGTGGTGAAGGCACTGCAGAAGTTACACAGACTGAAAAACATGGTAAGAAATGAGTGAGCTAAAAAAAAAAAAAAAAAAACCTACAAAATATATTTTTAAATGAATGCGTGCTGGACTAGACTAAGTACTACAACTATGCTTTTTCTTCATCATTGCAGAAGCATTGAAATATTGTCAGAAGTGGGGGTTGGGAGGGGTTGGGGAAGGCTTCATGGAGGAGGTGGAATTTATGCTGGACCTTGAAGGAGGGGTAGAACGTTGATAGATGAGACGGAGGGGAAGAACATTTCAGAATGACTGACTCTAGAGAAAATTGTGTAGAAATACTGAAAAAACAAGAGGGCAAACAAACGCCCCCAGGGAATGAAGCTTCCCAACTGAGAGGCCCGGGGTTGGGACCCAAAATCTCAAGCCCCCAGGTGGGGTCTTCAGTACCAATGATATTTGGAGGCACAGGACAATGGGCTTGTTTGTAAACCTAGCAGCAGCAGGAGATTTCACATTGCAGTCAGGGGCCCCAAATTGGCTGTACTATATGCCTGGGTGGGTTTTCTCATCCTTTCGGGGTGTGTGTGGTACTTATTTGTCCTTCCTCGTGCCCGCTGACTGCCTGAACGGTAGTTCGTGCGCGCCCATGTGCACGTGTGTGAGTGTAGGTGTGTGTGGATGGGTGGGGGACCGAGGCTTTGTCTCCCACTGCAGCTTCTTCCACGTTTCCCTCTTTGGGGCACACAGCTGGCTTCCATCGAGCTGGAGCTCGGGCCCTTCCCACTGGCTGTCTAGACCTCACTGAACTCCAGCTCGTCATTAAGCACCTAGGAAGCTTCCTCAACATGAAGGTAAAACCTACTGTGGGGGGTGACTTGGGTGAGGGCAGGACTACACTTTCCGGGGGTGGTGATGGTTGGTGGTATTCAGTGGTGGTGGTGACGGAGGTGGTACTGGTACTGGCGGTGATGAGAGCTGGGGACTCAGAAGCAGGCTCTGGCCGCTGGCTAAAAGCCTGCTGGCAAGTCTGAAGTGTTCAGTCGGGAGCTGGGATGTCAGGCTAGACCAGCTTGGCCTTGATCACCCCTCCTCCTTCCTCAACACGCCCTACAGGGAAGATAACACTGGGTGCCTGAAAGCAGCAAAGACATCTGTAGGGTATCCAGGCCATTGTTGTCCTGCTTAAATCTCACCCCCGGAAGCCCCAGAGATCTTTTTGTTGGCAAACATCTGTATGATCTCCACATAGGACTGTCACCTCCCCCTGTCCAGCTGCTGGAGGTATATAGGTTATGTAGCTACTGATGCTACCTGGATCGGGAGGTATGGGGGATTTATCAGAAGAAAGGAAAAGTTAGTTACTGTGAGTTTCTTTCTTTCAAAGGAGTATGGATTAGGTAAGACCTGGCACCTGACAGAAAAGGGAAGGATGGAAAGCTCTGTCAGGATTCCCTAGAGCTGAAGATTTAGAGCTCAGTGAGATCATCGCTGGAAATAACCTTGAAGCTGATGTGGCCCTGCTTGACTTTGGCAGTCGGGCCACCCTTCTTACGCAGGTACAGAGACTTCAGATCACGGCAGTCGCTGGGGTCAGCATCCAGAGTAACCTGCCCCAGGAACTGATCACAGAATTTCCGGCTGTTCCACACCTGGAGAGACAAGTCAAGAGAGCAAATGTGAACCACCCTCTGTGAGACCGGACGTGGCCCAGTGGCATCCAGAACCTAGCGCTGAACTTGGAAAGGCCTGTTTTAAAACCGAGAGACTCTCTCTCCTGATAACAGGCTCTGGCTGACAGGAAGCTACCTCAAAGAGGAGAGGTGAAGAGCCAGTCAGCAGCGCTCAAGGTCAGCTATACGATGGCTTTGTAAAGGCAGCTGGGCGGAAAAACAGCCAAATGATAGTGGTCCATCCTGACCTAACAGGATAGGGGTCATCTGACCTGGCATATGCTTCCCCTCATGGGATTTTATAGTACATGTCACAACACGTGTACCTGTGAGCATGTGCGCTTCCACCCACAATGAAAGGGACGGAGGGGAGGGTATTTACAATGGAAATTAATGAGGAAGTCAGTGTCTGTGCTTGGTGGGAGGTGTCCTGGAGTAAAAATAAACAGCCAAAGACCAGGATGACTCTTGCTGTGTATCCTGGATAGTTGAGGCACTTGGGATAATCTAGCCTCTCAAATGGAATGTGAGCTATCCCGGGGGGCGGGGGGTGGGGTCCCTGTTCACACACTTACCTGCACTATAATAGGAATGTCAGTGGTCCTTCTGTAGAAAATTGCCTGGGTGTCAAAAATGGCATGAACAGTATTCTTCTGGACGGGAGAACGGACTTCCTCCTTGCCACACTTGATGACCAAATACGGATTTACGGCTGGAACAAAGCGACAGTCGCTTTTAACGGAGTGATTACAGTTCTTATTCTAGAGAGTTGAGAAACTGGTTCACTGGGACTTTTTAGCCTAACACCTGGGTACCAGAATGACCTCGAACCTTGGATCCCGATTCCCTTTTCTTCTCCAGCCTTTATAAAAATGAAGAGTATGTAGGCCTTGCCCAAGGATGTTCAGATCCCGTTCTCTGTCCAGGTCGACAGCCATCCTGACTTCCCGAGACTGAAAATAACCCCTGGAGAGAACTGTTCATGACCACCTTTTCTAACCATAGGTGCAATAAATGAAACTGAAGTTCGCTTTCCCAGACACCTCTGCGGTTCTTACTTTCGTTGGCATACTTCTTCTCCAGGCCCTCCGCGCTGTGAACGGTGATCTGGGTCACCACCTTTGGGTAGCCACGAGCCAGGTTCCAGCAGGACATCTTGGGCATGTCCAGAGTCAGTTCCCTGGAACGTCAAAAAGAAGACAGGCCACTGATGACGAATGCCCTCTGATGAGGAGCTAGGCCTGACAAGGCAGCCATTGCTGCTGAAAACATGGAATAGTGAGTGACCCAGCTCATTCCTCCTCAGACATGGCTTATATTTTATGAGTCTGTTTTCCTTCCCCCTGGCGTTAAGGACCAGCAGATAAAGATCAGAGTAGGCAGGGCCGGGGTAAAAAGGCAGCTTTGGTGACCCAGCATTCAGAACATAATAGAGGAGCCATGAGGAGTCCCAGCTGCTTAAGAGAATAGAGTCAGCCAGAGGATGGAAGAGAAGATATACATGGGAAAGCTTAGGCTATAGGCCTGTTTCCCTGAGATGGCAGCCCAGAGGTCTGAAGCTCAGACCTCTACCGGGGAATTTTTCGTGGTTACGGAAATAACCATTTTGAGAAATATTTCTACCACCGTCATGTCAGTGAAGTCTGACTTGGACAGGTTGTCCTTTTGTGTGTCTGCATAGGAGGAGCAGGGTCAAGGGAGGTGGGTGGGTTGGGACTGGAGGCAAAGCAGAGACTAGGAGTTTGCTGGACTGGCCGCAGGAGCTGAACCTGAGCTGGACGGGCACTTCGGAGAAGATTCTCAGGAGAAACTCGCTGGTGCGGCCATGTTGGAACATGGTTGGGACAAGCACGTAGTTGCCTTTCTTCAGGTACTTGCTCAGAAACACGGTGCGGGTGTCAATGTAGGTGGATGTCCCAGCACGCTCTTGGATGTAGAGATGGTGGAGGCGGAACTTGCGGTTCATCTCCACCTGAAAATGAGACAGGACGAAATGCCCTGTTCCGCTCGAATTGCAGGGTTCGTGTTAGTAGATCCTAGGTCCTCTGCTTTCTTTATCCTTGGACCTATCTTCATTCCCCTCACCCCAGGCCGTCCTAACTGTGACTCTCTTTGCCATTATTCTCTCTGCTCCACATGCCCATTCTTACCTTGAAGAGCTCAAAGCCAATGATGTAATTGTCAGGTCTTCCCATGCGGCGGTAAGTACGCAGGTCCTTCTGCTGCAGTGACATAATGACCTTGTGCCCATCCTCGGGCACGGTGAAGATATACTAAGGGAAAGAGGCCACCATGGAGCTTTAGTTAGCACTTCCATTTCAGATGAGCCAGCTCAGATCTCAGGGAAGACAACTACGTTGAGGAGCAGAGACTCTGATTATTTTCTGGGCTTTGCCACTGACCAGACACTGTGGCCTTGGATAATTCATGGGCTTGCTAAGTGGAGATCATATATTGCTCCTCCCTATGGCATTCAGCATGGATTGAGAGATAACTTCACGCCTGGGTCTTTGATGCCAAAGAGGGTAAGCTTCTTGGTAAGATCTTGGGTTTATTTTAAATCGTCCCTTGCTTTTAAAAGCTGCACACTGAAAAATTCCAGAATCCATAAAGGCAAAAGGCACTTTTGTTTGACTTAGCCTGATACTATAGCATCCCCCTCAGGTAGCCTCCTCTAGCCAGCCCAGATGTGTGGCTTGTGGAGGGGCTGGACCCACTTCCTTGAAGAACTGATGCTTTGCTACCCTCTCTGCCAGGAAGCTGCAGACCTGTGTGTGAGACTCTGAAACATCATCTGAGGGAATCATGGTGCCACTGGGAAGTAAAACTAAAAGGCATCTGATTGGTCTCTCTGTGTCTGTCTTTCTCTTTCTCTCTCTCTCTGCTTTTTTCTCTCCCTCCCTTTAACAAGAAACAGAAAATAAATCCAGAATCATAGGTTTGCAAGGCCCCTAACGATCAAACTTGTGCAGTTAAGTGTGAAGCCAAAAGCCCATTTCTCCAGCTCGGTCAATGTGCCTGATATATGAAACATTTCCAGGGTTGTACATGGGGATGATGGGGGGGGTGGTGGTAATGGGAGCTTTCCTTTCTTTAAGGACAATTAAGATGAAAAAAAAAAAAGATGGAAAGAATGGGGAGAAAAAAGGTACGAGTTAAATAAATCAGCCTACTCATCTTAGTGTCCTTCCAAATGCCTGGTCAATGAGGCCCATGGAAAGAAAAGACATACCCACGTAAGGTGACAGTACAGTCAGAATTCTTGCCTCCCGTGGGTTATCTCATCAGCACATTTGGGGGTAAAACCATCAAGACTATTACAGATTCAGGCTTTGGATGTTTGGATTTTTTTGCTTTGGGGCATGCTTGGGCTTGACCCCTAAGGGATCATGTGGAAGAACATTGTAATGGAAGACAGATGAGACAGGGTCACTGATCGGGTAGTGCTTCAGATCCTGGGCAAAATGACCTGATTCTGGGTGAGAGAAGGGCGGCATAATGATGGCATTCAGAAGATTCACTGCATGAGAAAGAAGACGCACACTGTAAATGCGCACCCAAGAGAACAGATGGGCAGTCAAGAAATGAAAAAGAATTGAGTGTCTGGGAGCAGATCCTTTCTGTCCGATGGGGGACAATCACAAAGAGCCACACCAAGCAATATGGCACCAGGGGAGAGGCAGCCAGAGGAGATGACTCAGATTTAATATTGTTCCCCACATACGTCTCTGCAATAGACACAGTCTGCCATGACTTACAGCGCCTGAGCCAATCCTTAGGCACCTTGGTTGATGAGTATTACACAACAGCTGCAAATTGAAAAACTGATGTCAAAGAAATACTGCAAGGTGAGACCCAAGTTCCTATTGCCTTGAGAAGTTGGGAGACAAGATTAGGAAAAAAAAAACCCACAAATTGATTCAAACCTGGGGATTCTGCAGGAAGGTATCACGATTGTTGTAGCAGCCCCCTGACCGGTTCATCAGGGGATCATCGTCCACAGTCCAGCATCCCACCACCGATTCCAGCTCCTTGCGGCCAAAAATGGGGTTGTTCACGTTGCGGCAGACATTCAGTTCGTGAAAGTTGCGGCAAAAGTCCTCCAGGCTCATCCTGAACAGAAGGCAGGCAGGAAAGAAATGAAGGTGGTGCCAGATACCTACCACAGTAGTGCCACATGGGAGCCCCAAGGCCCTTAGCACCGAAAACCCCTCCTCACCAGAACTCTCCATCATCAGACATAACAAGCCCCAGGTTCTTGCGGTCGGCCATAGTCAGCTGCTGCCACTCTTCAGAACTAAAGGCAAATGAATGGAGAAGCCATTAGGTTTACCATTGACTTCCTACAGGAAGCAGGACACCAAAGGACCGGAAGGCGTGAGTGTTGGGCCTGCTTTATTTCACCTCTGGCTGGGTCACAGACCCCGCAGATGTCACTAAGCACTGACAGCCCACTAGCAAGCTGGAGGGACGCGTTGGGAGAACTATAGGGCTTGGGAGACGTGGCCGTCCAAATGAAATGTCACTCACATTTCGCTCCAGGGGCCGCTCCATTCCTGACGTCCCAAGGGGTTCCTCAGGCGAACCATATAGAGCTTCTCAGTACTGAAGACTTCTAGCAGTCTCTCTCCAAGACGGATCTTGCGAATATCAGTCATGGTGTAGGTATGGCCCTTCAGAAGACCCCAGTCAGTTTCAACTTCTTGCTCCTCTTGATTAGGAGACTGAGAGCAAAGAAAGATACATAAGGCCACAAGAATTGAGAGACCCAAGGCCTGGCTCCAACTTTTCCTTGATTGGTTTACCCCAGTATGGTTGAAGCCAGTTCTCCTTAAGCAGACAGAAATTTTATCCAGACACCTGACTTGACACAAAGCAAGTGAAAGAAAGGAAATAAAGAATTTAATATAATAACCCACTTAAACAATTCAGATTGAAACTACCCACAGTAGTACACTGATACCAACAGCTTAAAAATTTGGTGGGGCTGGTTTATTGTGTGAGCAAACGGCTATAACTTCTACCTCCAGGGGCAGAGGCAGGAGGAATAATTTAGCAGAGGCTGTCTACACTGGCTCAGAAACTGCATCAGCCCCCAATGGGATGGTTGGTACAGAAGGATAAAAAGTTAAAGCTCTGGGGCGCCTGGGTGGCTCAGTCGGTTAAGTGTCTGCCTTCCAGCCTGGGTCGTGATCCCAGGATCTTGGGATTGAGTCCCACGTTGGGCTCCCTGCTCAGCGGGGAGTCTTCTCCCTCTGCCCCTCCCCCCCGGCTCGTGCTTGCTCTCTCTCTCGCTCGCTGTGTGAAATAAATAAATTCTGAAAAAATAAAAAGAGTTAAAGCTCGGTGGCCTCTGTTCCAGGACTCAATGCATATTGTTAGTTTTCTGAGCGCCATAATGCCTTCTCCTGAATCTCTGGGGGAAGGGTGACATTCCCTACTAATTTTGTAGTGTGAGCAAAGAATGCTTGTTTTTGGTGACAACAAACCTCAATGGAGCAACAGATCAGCCCTCCTTTGGTAAATGTTTTGTACAGCTCCCCAAATAGCTTGTACTTCTCCTCAACCAGCTCGGTGTATCTTCCCTTCTGCATGTCAACGGTCTCGGCCAGTGTGCCAGTGAAGTCCACGATGATATCAGTGGTGGTCAAACCATCGAGGGCTTCGTAACAACCAAGCAGCCTGGGGGCAAATATGCAAGGTTATCTTGGTAAACTGATTTTTCCAGGTGGAGGACGTCTTGTTCCCAAGAATTAGAGAACAGTCCCCGCCCAGCCAGCCTTTCCCAGCTGGCTTTTCGATATTATGAGATTACAGCCAGAGATTTCTAGGCTTAGGTTATGTTGAGCAGGGGCAGTCCGTGAAGAAGCTTCCTTCTCCAGGTAAACATTAGGGAAGGAGAAAAGGTGAGGCCATCATGCCATGTGATCTGCAGATTAGCAGCAGGAAGGGGCACCTACGAGCAGGGAGGGTTTTTAATGGAAACCAGAAGAGCTCATTTCTCTATCCTCCAGGATTTCTGAGGGCCAGGCCCAGGCCCAAAGCAATGCCTTGGATCTGACTGCTATGCTACCCCCTTTAAACTCAAGGGCTCGGCTGAGAGAGGATGAGCTCCCAAGGACAAATGTGGCCTTCCCTTCCTCGTGTACCCTGACCACTGACTGGTCAACCCCCCTCCTTACTTTGCATAAGCTTTTTCCAGTAGAGCATTCCAAAACTCATTCATGGAGGTGGAGAAGGAGAAAACCAGATCTCCATTGATGGTGGGCAGCAAGTCATCAATCACCACCTCAGTCCATTCTCCAAAATGCCAGAAACGGAAGCGAAATATCCCAGCATATTTATCGAGTTTTCGAGGGTCCCATTCCTGTTCCTTATGGTTGGGAATTGTCTGGAAATATAAGAACAGTCATACAACTGTTATTCACCAGACCACATCCAAATATTGAGTTGCAGTTGACTTCCGGCAAATCTATATGGCAGTAGGAAGCACACCAAATACATCTGGTTTGGGTCTAGGCTGAGAAGTCCTAGGTTGGGCATTTTTTTCCCACAACTTTTGCTTCCTTAGGTCAGTTTTGCTGAGGATAGTATTACCATGCCGGCCCTGAATACACACAGGGTGACTGAGGGGAAGCCAATTAGGAATTAAATTATTTCCCACAGATAATCTACAAAGTCGATCATGAGAAACTGTCTATACAAACATATCTGGTTGCATGTTTAACCACCTAAATAAGGCATTTTAAAAGAAAAAATCACTGAAAATATAAGACGCCTGCACTTCCGGGTTTTAAAGGTCCACCCTAGAGATTTCATGTAGATTCTATATGGCTTTGACTCACACCTTGAGCGAAATTATGTTGAGGAAATTCTTTTTATATGCAATTACACATCACTCTTCGAAAATTCTGTTTCTGAAGAAAAATCAAGTCAAATCAAGCCAACGCTTCACTGCCTCTGACTCGACCTAAGTGCCGAAGAAATTTTTGTACTCAAGAATTTATTAGAACCTTTTCAAGGAACTATTTCCATTTTTCTTGTCTTTTCTGTTATTCCTATCTGTGATTTCCTGGCCCCTGCTGGCTCTATCCTCCAGTCGGTGCAGAGAACACAAGTACACAGAGCTATTACGTCAAAGCACTACAAGTGACAAAAGATCAACTATTGTGTGACAAAGCCAACAGAGTAACATGTTAATGGTAAGAATCTAGGTGAGTATATAGGTGTCCCCTGTAAAATTCTTTCAACTTACTGTATTGGTAAAAAATCCTCATAATTTGTAAAATATTCTCATAATTCAGGAATTGAACAATCTCAAAAACCTAACGACCTGATTTTTCCCAAAATTACTAAGGAAGACAAAAAGGTGGAAACTGAGTGAGGTCTCACAAGAGAGGGGGATACCTTTGTCCAGTGAGATTCCTGAACAGCCAAACAGGAAAACGCAGAGACCATCGGCTTGTGCCCCAGTCTCCCTTGGATCAGCTGGTGGTTGCTGATGTTGCCCACGATCAGACGGGGGTCGTCACAGATGTCCTGCAGATACAACAATTGGTTCTAAGGGTGTGGAAAGTGTTTCACAAGAGTCAGCGTGAGCTGAGGTAGGCAGGACAGAGATCATGACTAGGACTTCCATAAGTGGGATAAAGGGAAGGTCCAGGGAGTGGCGGGGGGGGGGTTGTGAGGAAAAATACAAAGCAGTCGATCATCGGCTGCAGAGAGAGGGTTATGAGGGGAAGTGGCAGGAGAAATGGGAGGAGGGGATGCGATGAGACAGGTTGAGATGGGCTGGTGGGGGTGCTCAGAATTAGCATTGCGGTTTGGAAGAGTTTTCCCTACAGCAGTGAGCTTTTGAAGAGAACTAGAGATTAGCACATTGCATTCCGGTCCTATTGGTCATGAGGAGATTTTCTGAAGCACCTGTGCCTGGAAGGGTAATTGCATTTCAAAAGACAAGGCCCGATGGTGGTGAATGCTTCTCCCTCCCTGGGAAAATGAGTTCGGAGACCTTATACAGAAAGCCCTTTCCCCAACATAAAGCGAAGGCAACGGCAGTCTCCATGGCAACTAGATTTTTCCCCATCTTTGGATGAATACAGATGGCAGCAGGTGGTAATGGACCCCTCATAGGAGCACTTCAACACACTCTTTTCCCACAGAGATTGTTCTGAGGGAAGCCGGACAGAGGTGGGGGACAGTATTTGTTTGGAGCGTATGGGTCTTTCTTCCCCGAACATGTCAACAGCCATGCCACTCCCACGGCAAGTAGGAAAATGAGACCCAAATAGCACAATGACGACACAATGTCTGAGGGCACACAGCAGTTATTTTCAAAGTATAATCGGTGTCTAGAGGAAGGATCCCCAAAGTCTCCCTGGTGATAGAATAGACTGAATAGCCATGGTGACACTCGAGTTGAAGCCTTAGGGATGACTAGCGTGAGGGAGTTGGACAAGGCAGAGGTATGGAGGTATGACGGGTAGAGAGGCAGGCGTAGACAAAGGCATCGCCGCATACGCAACATCACATAATTGAAGACATGATTGTGTGACTCAGAGAATCAGCACTTTGCAGAGTTCAAAGGCAGGAAATACCAACGAAGTCTTGAGTATCTGGAGAAAGCTTCATGGAGGAGGCCGTTGGCCGGTACCTTGACATTCTGCTTACCCAGCAGAAATAAATCCTAGTCTCAAATGGAAAGAAAATCTAGACATATATCCTTTTAAATTTTATTAAATAGAGACAGCTATATTTTTCTGGTTCTCAAACCTTTTTTTTTTTTTTTAATGGACATAATTCTCCTTGATGAAGGGTCTGGTCTACAGAACGAAACATTCCATATATTCTTTAAAAGCCAAAATCACTCGGGAAAGGAATAAACATTCTAGGCAGGGACAAATCCAAAATAAAGATGAATTGGGCATCCCTCTGCCAAAAGGAGAGGGTTAGGTGGGTTTTCAGTTTGGGATTTTCTGGTCTTTTTTTTTTTTTTTTTTTTTTTAGATGCATACCTAGTGTCTCGACATCACTTTTTTGTCTTAGAAAAAGACTTCTATCTTCGTATTTTTTTATGGGCTGGGACTTGCCTGTTTTTTCGCTTATTGAGCATAGAGCAGGTGTGTTGGGTGAATTAGGCCCTGATATTCTCTCCCAATCGTTTCTTTGCCCTTTCTAAGATGAAACTAAAAACAGCTTTTTCTCGTGGGCCAGGTGTTACTATTTTATTTGGAGCAAGACATAAAGTTATACAATGATTTCTTGGGTTTCGATGATGCAAATAATAGTTGCCTAGCATGGAAAAACAGGAAAGTGAACATTGGTGCATGGAAAAGTGTGCTTTTAGATTATTAAGGCAAATTATTTGCTGGTTTTATGTGAAGTTGTTAGTGGCTGGGGTTACATTACAGTGTCTTGGATTGCCACAAGGCTCTCATTTAACAGCAGGGATCCAGGTTCAGCCAACACTTTTGGCATCCCAGCTTTTATTCAAGACATAAAGGGTCACATGAATGAGCAAATACCTGTAAACAGAATTCAAATTGCGAAACTGGGTAATTATTCTCCTGTAGATCCAAGCTGAATGTGGTCATTCTGTGTGTGTTCATGTGTGTGTGTGTGTGTGTGTGTGTGTAACTGTATGTAATCATGAAAGAATATAAATTTGGGCCCAAAAAATCCCTTATTTTCTATTTCCTCTTGTAAACTGGCCCATGGCCCAGTTTTCCTTCACCACTCTTCATGCATGATGGATGGCCATTTAACAATGGGTTTTAAAACATGATAAATTAAAAGGCCATAGACTGTCAACGCTGAAAGAAATCTTAGGGACTATTTACTCAACCTCTTTATTTTACAAAGGAGAAAACAGGCTCAGGAAAGGGCAGCAACTTGCCCCTCCCAGCAGGCAGGTAATTAGTAGGAGACCTAGGACTGAAGTTTTAGGTTCTTCAAAAGCACATATAGTTAGGGAAGGTGCTTCATGCCTCTCTGCTTAACACTTGCCTAAAAGCTCTTCATGGTTCTGGAAGACTTGCTTAAGTTATATCTCAGCTTTTGGTTCCAAGCTAAATATCACCAATAGGCTTTAAACACCTCAGTTTCATCCACTCAGTGGGAATCAATCTCTTATGTATGTCAGCACCGTGATGTGAAACATGGGAGGACATCTTTATTATGCCACATCCTCTACCTCTTTAAGGAAGTCCGAGACTAGAAAGGAGCTAAGGAGGGAGAAAGGGGAAAGGGTAATAAGCCAGTGCAAATCTAACGGCCAAATGGACTTTTTAAGGGACATATTTGAAAATAATGAAATGGCTGTTTATTGACTTTTTCCCTAGTTTTGGACAATGGGTTGTCTTCATATTGGGCGTAAGGAAGTAAGGCGGGAGAAATTTTTCTGTAACTCAGAGCCGAGATGGAGAGTGCAGATGGGATATTTCAGCCTGAGCTCTGCTGGACTGGTAAGGAATGGAGTTGGGGAGAGGTCACAGCTCACAGATTCACATATTTGGGTGGCTTGAGAGGGAGGGGAGATGCTGGGCCCCTAATGGCTCCCAGCTGTGCTGGCACAGTTGCTGTGATCCTTGAACTGGGCTGTTTGTCAAGGCAAAATAATTTCTTAGGGGGGAAACACACACAACTAGGAAGTTGGACACCAAGAGTAAAGCCAGGAACAGTCCCCGCATACCCCCATCCCCGAGCCAAAGCCTTCTACAAGCAAAACAGCTTCTCTAGGAAATATGTTCTCTTAACTGAGCACTGAGAGTCCTTCCCATTGTCCTCACCTCAGCTCCCTTCGCAGAGACCTCTGGAAGATTGGCGGGGAGGGAGACACACAATTACCAGGCTTGGAGCCCTGTACGTGTCATTCTATGTGGCTTTTGCAACTTTTTTACACAGGCGAAACTGGCGGACAATAAGCATTGAGGTCCCGGGTCAACAACCTCAAGTACCACAGTAAAATGAAAGGAGGCCGAGAAAACCAGCAGCCAGAAGAGTGGAGACATTTCCAAGAGCGCTCCAGTCTTGCAGTACTGAGGGGCTGGGGGCCTGGACACCTGCAAGTGAGGCTGGTCCTGCAGTAGATATATTATGACCAAGTCCAGCACCCTAACTAGTCCCAGAAGGCCTCAGGGCTGCCATTCGGGACCCGAGGGCTGTGCCAGTTGGTCCAAGGAGCCATTATCTTATCCTAAGAAACCTGAACCATCTCCAAGCAGAGCCTTCATAGGTGGAGCTGGGCTCAGGGACCAATGCTGGACCAGCCTCTCAAGGAGTTCACTTTACCTGCTGGCGAATTTTCCTTTTGTGGGAAGAGCATGTCGTCAGTAAAACAGCCACTTCCTTCCTTACCCCTCCAAGGAAAACTCAATATGAAGCCTGAGAATTCAGGTCTTAAGCCTAACTTCTACTTCCAGCCTAGGCAACCGAGTCACGACATAGTTATCCCCTTTGAACCTTCAGACTTTGGCTAGAAGACTCCAGGTATAAATGCCAAACTGCTTTAATTGGGAAGAATTTACATATCCATGCAGCGGATTACTGTTCAGCCATCGGAGGGACAAACTGATTACATGCTGCCACATGAATGAGCCTTGAAAATGTTATGCTAAAGCAAAAGAAACCAGTTGCTTTTACTTTTCTGTTCCAAGTAAAATGTTTAGAGCCAGCCGAATCTAGATAGAAAGCCAAAGTAGATTAAGTGAGTGCCTGTGATGGGGGGGGGCGGGGGTTACTCACCGCAAATGGGTACAGAGGGTCTTACGGGGACGATGTGACTGTTCTACCATGATGAAGTTTTTGCAACTTTTGTGAATTTGCGAAAAATCATTGCCTCATACTCTTCCAACAGGTGAATTTTATGACCTATAAATTGCACTGTGAGAAAGCTGGTAAAGGGCACAAGTGAAAATAAACAGGATGGGCCCATCCAGCTGGTTTCGACTGTGTCACCGGTGGAAAACATGAGGACTAGTCAGGTTGGGGGACATGATCTCTGGGAATGGTAAGAACTTTATGACCAGTCTAGGCCAAAACTATGGCACAGAGGTGCCCCATTCAGTGGGGAGCCGGAAACTTCGATTAGCACAGAGAAAAGTGTTTCCCCTTTACTGTTTCCTCCCAGGCAATCTGTCCCCAAGACCTGTGTATTCTGCTTTCTGATGTCTCCCCTCATTGAACTTTCCCTTCCATTCCTACCACCTGTGGCTTTCATCCAGACCCTCATCACCCTCCTCCCTGCACACAGGGTAGTGAAATGGCCCCTGGGGAGGGTATTCCTCGTGGAAGGACCTGGGCCAGGGAAATGGTAAGTAGGGCCCGCGCTCAAAACTCGACTAGAGCTGACAGAAGATCTTGTGCAGGTGCCCTCGCTTCCCCCACAGCTGGCTGCACAAATCCCCGCGAGGGTTTGCTCCGCTTTAGTCAGGGATTAGATGTGTCTGACTCTAAGACACTATTGTAGCTGGGTATGAGTCAGTCAGGAAAAAAGCCAGAGGCGGGTAGGAGGGAAGAGTGGCTGGAGAAGAGATTTTTTTTATGGGAATTTGGCCAGCCAGATTTCAGCCCTAAAAATTGTACCTGAGGCCTTACGATCACGCTGTCAGTCAGTATAAATCGGTATAGCTTAGAATTTACTAAGACTGTATATGAGAAAGCCCCAGGAGGACAGGAAAGTTCAGGAACACACGTCTCAAGCCGTATACCAGTGTACCGAGGAAGCTAGGCCAACAGCTGGGGCCAGTGGACCACTGGAGGAGTTCAGGAGAAGGATTTTTCTCTGGAGGGTATGGGCGGATGAGCCGGCCCTGAATAACTGCAAAACATTCCCATAATCCCTGCCTATCTAAAGTGGCTCCTTAGGACACAGCATGGGAGGGGCAATTGGGAAGAAGGGGACACTTAATCCTACCCTAGGATACTGGGGGCTTAACTGAAGTTGTTTGGTTCAACCAGCCCTGGGGTTTACAGGCATGAAGGCTTATAAAGGCAGAAGCTTTTGAACATGGGAAAGGAAAGAAACAGAATATCAGGTTAATCATGCTTCTTCCATTTTAGAGACTTCAGAAAACAGCCCTGGTTGAGGATGAGGCTGTGTGGCATGCCAAGGGACAAGATGTCTGCAAGCTTCCCTACAAACTGGGATCTCAACCTTGCCAATGAGGCGGGTGAGGCCAACGACCCATCTGGTCTCCCTGAGCCAATTCAGAGAGGCCCAGGGCTGTGTCTCGGCTTTCCTGATGGGAGGCCAGAGAACTTTGACGTGGTTCTTGACCACAGGCTTGGCCTCCACTCTGGCTGGAAAGGAATCCAGAGCTTTTTGAGGAGACTCAGATGGTGGTCCAGAACCTTGTTTTTCCCTCCTTCCCACAAGAGGCCCCTTCCCCAACCACTACAATCTATGCTGATCTCCCCCTTCTTCAAAACCCTACATACTGTCTGTGTGCCTGAAGATAGCATTTCTTATATCAGGCATTCATTTATTATTTAACTCGTTGATGGCTCAATATCCATCTCTCCCACTAGAATGGGAGGGCCTCACCCCAGGCTGTGTCTGTAAATTGCACAGAGGCTGCACAGAGTAGGTGCTCAATAAATGCTTCTCAAGACTCTCCCTTTGGGCTTAAGACTAAGCTCACAGGGTGCTCTCAAAAGGGAGGGTATGGATCATTTAATGGATGTACAGCATCGACCCAGGGAGGAGGAATGTGAGAAATGACTGGTGGGAAACTACCAATTTTAGCAAAAGAAGAGAACCAAAGAGCTCGGTTTCTCTGAAACCACAGCATGGCGGCATGAAAACCAACGTGGGCTTTGGAGTCAAGCCTGGATTCAAATCCCAGGGTGTCCGCCTTCGGACCCCGGGTAAATTCTTACCTTCTCTCTGAGATCCACTTTCGTCATCAATAAAACGGACGTAGTAATATTTACCTTTAGTTTTCAAACCGGAAAAAAAGAATCGCATCGGAGAAATGTACACGATACCGACCTTGCTAAGCCATGGCGAATGAAGATGAAATGAAAAAAAAAAAATGTACAGAAAGCTCCAAACACAGTCTCTAGGCCCATGGTAGGCATGGCACAAATGCTGATTCCTTTTCCTACCCACCCCAATTCACTCTCTCTTTCTGATATCCCCTCACCCTGGAAAGGGTATTGCTTGCTTCAGAGGCAAGATGGACTCTTGCCATGGTTATTTAGTTTTTTCCTTCCCTGCTAATCCATCTAGGATTCAGTCCACAGAATTTGGAAGAAGAAGGCAAAGGACAAAGGACTGAGCCAAGAGAGAGGAGGGAGCATGTGTCTCAAGACCCAGCCAGTACAGGAAGCGTTGTCAGCTTGATTCACATCTGGGAAACGGCTTCGTGTTGGCTTATGACTTTGCCACCCATTGGGTCTCCTCCTATCTCCTCCAGGACCTCTCCCTCATCAATCATTCCTTCTCTCTCCTGTGTCTTCAACCGCTTCTTCTTTACTGTTTCCTCTTTGGCCTAGAAATACATTCAAGTCTGTCCTATTTTTAAAAGATATCCCCCCGCCCCCGACAGAAAACCTTCCTCAATTTCCTGCCTCCTTTTCAGCTATTTCTGCCCCATGGATGTCCTGTCTTTCCGATCTGGGCATCAGAAAAGAGTGGTGCCCCTCATTATCATCATCCATTCATAAGAGTGGCACTCAGACAAGATATCTTTATTTTCTTCGTGCATTTCTGCAAAAACAAGACAAAACAAAACTTACCCCTCTTCATACCGAATTAGTGGCTAGTGAATTCTGCTCACGTTTCCCAGATTTTTAGTGCAGGTCAGTGATCTGCAGGGATGTCAACAACTGGAGGCGCAGAAAGTCAGGAGGAGTGTCATCTTCCTTCCAATGGAAAGGACTTCTCCAAGTCTCATACTCTCAAATGGCTATCATACTTTGCGGGCAAACGCTGAGACCTCTCCTTCAGTCACATAGGAAACACAAGAGCCTTGAAGGGACCAATGTATCTTGGCACCACCTGGTGGCAACCTACAGCAACTGCAACGGCTCTCGTGAGAAGTCCGTTAAGGAGTGTAATTGCAACTAAAAAGTTGCAACTAAAAAGCCTGCTGGCTGAGAGAGCCAACCTTGAGTTGTTAAAGGAGGTGGCTGCATAATAGGGCACAAAAAGATACATCGGTACATGGGATCAGAAGGCCTTCAGGATATTGCCAGGGTCCAAGAATGTGCATGTCCCAACAGCCCTCTGTGGCTTATGTCCCTGGTCACCCACTTTGGGAAGGAGCTCAGGTATAATATCCTTCTTCCAGTTATACCCTTTAGAGAGGGCAAGGTTGCCTGCCATGTATTCTCCAGATTCCATCATCCTATCATTTTATACACTGAGCTCCCTCTCATGCAGGGCTGGTGAAGAGGTTCTGAGACTTGGTTTGGAGACACAATACACAGCTGTTCTGCAGAGAACCATAATAACTATTGATAGGTCTGAAAGAGCTACACTCCTACTCAGATCCCACTTGGCTAATGGTGAGGGGATCCAGGTGATGGTATCCAAAGAGTAGCAAAGAAATCTCCCCCCTCCTCCCCCAACAAACTCCATCTTGTCCTTGTAGAGTTCATTTCATTTATGCTCGTTACATCAGGAGTTTTGTTGTTGTTCTTCTAAAAATTGCCATCTGACCAAACATGACTGAAATTCAAGATTCCTCAAGCTAGAGTCAGAAGCACAGATCCGTAACACTTGCCACATAAAAGCTGTCTCCTAAATTGCTTTGCGCGTGGTAGGCTGTGTTGAGAGAAACAGGGGACCAGGCAGAGTTATGATGCAAGAGACTGAGAAGGAGACAGAAAGTAAAAAGCAAACAAACAAACAAAAGACAAAGTTACCTGGGGACGTTTCCACACCACCTTCCCAGGAAGCAGCCGGTTGTAGAAAAGCGAATCATTCTCAGGCAGAAAGGTCGGGTCACAGAACAGTCTGCCATCTTTGATGCATTCCTGCTTCAGTTCCTGGTACTTCTGGTTTTTGAAGAGCTTCAGAGGAGGACCCATACTGCCGAACTATGTCTAGAATGAGAAAAATTGTGGTCACTGGAGGAAGAAGTTCTGAAGTATTTTGAAGATTACCTGAAATTAGACAAACAGTAGTCATCCCAGTGACTTTATTCCTGGAGCTAGGCATGTGGAGCTTGGCTTTAAAAGAAAAGTGAAGATTTTCAGGGAAAGTAGGGTCCAGGCTCTGCAACCGACTAGCTCAGCATGGGGCTTTGCCTAGGGTGCCTAAAACATTGGGGGCCTCAGTTTCTTCCTCTGCCAAATGGGGCAATATGAGCCTGAACAATATTACTGAAAAAATAGATAATAAATGTTAAGATCCCTCGTTAAATGTGAGTCATTATTTAAAGGGCAAGCTTCCATTTTACATCAGCAGAGAGGAGTTTCAAGCAAAGGACAATTTTAAATTTGAAGATAAAAGAAAAAAGTCGTTTTACTATATTCAGAGTAAGTTGGTGCCCTGAAGGGCCACACATTATGTGCTTCAGGGGAGAAGCAGCCCCTTTCACTTCTAAGGAGCCCCTTTACACAATTCCTTCCCTTTTATCATTTAAAGAGCTTTGCATTTTTTATTATTGGCCAGGAAGGCTAATGCAAGCAACAGAGCTCAGCAGATGGCCTCCAAAGACAAGGAAAGATAGAAAGATTGTATGTGTCTTTCTTCTTCAAAGTCTAACATGCAATCATTTGCCCGCTTTAAAAGGCAGACTCTGAAATTCAATTACACTAATTTGATGGACTATAGATTCTTATCCCATGGCAATACATTGTTGCTTTCTTTTCTTTTTAAAAAAAAAAACAACTCACATGGCTAAATAGAGAATTAATATAGTGGCTCTTCAAGCAATGGTCTATCTGAGTGCCCCACACTCAAATGTCCCTAACAACTGGTTTTTATGGGGATAATTTGAAAGACAACTTTGATTTTAAATAACTTTGGGGTGATAATAGGGTTCTCAATGCCTTTGCTTGATTCACAAAGATAAATTCGTAATGATTTTAATGATTCTCTCTTGACGCTCAATGGTTAGTAAGAGGAGGGTTGTGACATTTACATGGTGCCAATTATTTAAAAAATATTTTTTAGGGATAACTGTGTCTATATTTCATGATTACGTGAGGGTCGAAACAGGAAATATCTGACTAAGGTCAGAGTATCTGCTGAAAAGTGGGTGAAGTTTGAAAAGAACTAATTAGTACTTTAAAGAGTGTCTGTGTAGGTAACACAGCTCAAAATCCAGTTAATAAAGAGGGAGTCACTATTTTATAAAAAGTGAAATAATAATCAGACCTCTCTACTGTCTTATTTCATGTCCTTTCAGTATTACACTGAGATGCCTTACTGGTAAAGAAGCCTTCCTATTTGAAAACCATAAAAAAAAACTGAATTCGACATTATTTGCAAACTACAATATATAAAAACAAACTTACCCTTTCTCTGAATCCAAGGAATAAGAAGCTGAAAAGAACCATAGTTTTGTTTTGTTTTTTTTTTTAAATATATAGCCTTATTGATTGACCTTTGTTTTTCAAATTGAAGGTTATGGGACACTGCAAAATGCCAAAATGCCTTTAAATCAGATTTAATTCTGATTAAATCATCAGATTTAATTCTGTTCACATATTTCAAATATTAAAGTGTATTTCATTGTATTTGGAGGTATGAGAGGTATCAGTAATAATTTCCCATTAAGCAGTATCGGAGCCAATCTGAATGTACACTCAGTCTCCTTTCTGGAGCCTGTTACAGATGGACCCCAATTTTCACATGTGCTCTAACTTATAACAAACACTGTTGTGCCTCTGGCTCTCCCTGGAAGGGTTGGTGGGCTGCCAGAGGCTGGGGATTGTAAATGGCGGATAGTCTGGGGCAATTAGGGTATTTAGTTTGCCAGAACCCCCGAGCCCTTGAACGTGTTGGATAAATGGGTATTTCCTGTTCTTGGGAAGGCCCTCTGCCCCCATGCCTCCCTCGCTACTCAGTCAAACGGCAAGTCCCTGTCATATAAGGCGGGCCTATCTACAGACAGAAGCCGCATCAACTGACAAGAAAATCAGGCTTGATTTGAAAAACGAGTAGGATCCCAGTAGACCCTTCCAGAGGCAGAATATCCAGCTGACGTGTATAGGGCAAGCCTTCTGGGTGAGGGCACTTGCATTTGGGGCGCGCACAGTAAATACGGAATAGCAGGCTATCAGCCTGAAATTTGACAGGCTTTCATTCGAATCAAATTGTAGGCTCAGGTCCTGCTGGACTTGCAGAATAGAACTGCGCCCCATTGCTGGCTTGGTTCCTTTGTGCCTCGATTTTCTCATCAGGGGCGTGGGGTTCTCTATCCTGCCCTCCTTACCCTATGGCTGCACCTAATGAGATGGTTAGCGTAAAAGTACTTTGAATAAGCGGAAAGGGCTCCGTAAGGCAAGATACACATTGTCAGCACAGGGCTGGGCACACAGCCGCTGTCCAGGAAATATCGGCTGAACGGACGAATGTCTTATGCAGACAATTCATGCTTGCATGTATTGTCCGAAACGCACATTCTAGTTCATGTTCTCCTGGTGACAGCCATGTTTAGGAGGCATTATCCGTGCCCTTTATTTTGTATCTGCAGAAATGGCAACTCCCAGAAGGGGCAGCTAGAAAACGCAAAACTGGCTCCAACCCGGGTCTGTGTAATGTCAGATTCAGTGTGCAGCCTTCCCCTTACACCACACTGCTTCTTTTGGTCACTGAAGGGATTTCTTTTTTTTTTTAAGCTCAAATGAGGAAAACCCTCCAAAGCAAACATGATACCTAACTTGGAGGCACTCTGCCTAGCACTTATTGCCACGGTGGGTATTGAAAATGTTCTTTATGTCCACGGTCTGATGATCATGGGAGAATCGGAACCCTTCACCTCAGAGGGTTCATTAGGTAAGTCTGGAAAAAAAAAAAAAACCTTCTGGAAACCTAGAAATTTGTAAGTCGGGTTGGTCGCAAACAATTTGCCCTGCCGGAGCCCAGGAGAGTGGGGAAGGGACTGCTGCTCCTTGACCGTCTTACTGCACCCAACTGTGAAGACAAGAGTGCCTTTAGGTTAAAGATGGCATATTGAGAAGGGCAGTACACAGAATCCAAGCTAGGGCTTCGGGTATCAACCAAAGAGAGCCTCTGGCTAACAAAGGGAACGGGCACATCTAAGAGGAGGGACCCTGTGGTCTGAGGGTCGGAGGGATTGGGTGGTTGGGTGAAGCAGAGTGCGGGGTTTTGCACTAAGATGACAGTCTCTAGCAGTACGATTTCAATGAGGACCCACTGCCTAGAGATAGAGCAGGAAAAAGGCTGTGTGAACGCAGGCAAGTGGGAGGGGTGGGTCCCAGAGGGTGGAAAGTTGGAGATTGCCAGGGGAAGTTGAGGGAGCCTGCCACGTAGAATAATACAAGGGCTGCAGTTGGGGCGATGGAGTTTTTGCTACTCGCTGGACTGGAAATCGCAGGGGAGCTGGGCAAACTCTTAAGAAGAAAATCACTCGTTCGTCACCTGTGGGTCAGCCTTAATATCGAAACCAGATTTGGCTCTAAAACGGGAAATCTGCCTCAGTTTCTTAAAGAGAATTGTTCTCTGAGAGAGGAAATCCGGTCTGCAGTTTACAAACTGCTTTTGCCCGGGGTGAGGGGGAGAGGAAGGGCGGGCATTTAAGGGGGAGAGAGGGAGAGAGCATAGCTCCCTAGGTGGTGTCCTTGGCCGGTTTCCCTCCCTCCCTCCCTCTCCACTACCCCCCCTACGCCCCCCCCCGCCCCCAGTTCCCCCTTGTGCTGTCCTCGAAGCAAAATAGGAGGTAACAGCAAATAGGAGTTTTCAGAGCAAACTGAATGCAGAAGACCTAACTCTGCCCAGGCCTGAAGTAGGCACCACTTTAGTCTCACACCTGGGGGTGGTGTGGGGAGGGAGAAGTAATAAAAACTCGGCGTCCACGGTACACAGAGCGCTGGCTTCGGCAGCACATACACTAAAATGGGGACGATACTGAGAAGATGAGTGTGGCCCCCGTGCAAGGATGACAGGCATGTTCCCCGGAGAATAGTGCCTCCCGTGGCTACGCAGGCAGAGTCATAGCCCACATCTATGCACACGCATCTACCAGGGAACATATGGCTGACCAGATTCCACTTGTTGGCCAGATATCCTGGGGTTGGAACGGGACCATAAAAGTCCTCGGATCCAGCCTTATCTGGGACACATCTACTCCATCCAGAGAGAAGACTGTTCAAAGAAATTGGAAGAAGAAAAAAAAAAGAGTGCACAATTCCCTTTAATTCCATTGTTGAAGAACTTTATCGAAGAATACAAAACAATCCAGAATCATAAAAAGAACACAAGTGGTCAGCAGATCCAGGATCAAGTCCCAGATACCACCATTTAGTGTAGATAACAGCTCTATCCCTCAGTTTCCCCATCAGCACAAAGGAAATACGATGGCTGTCCTGTATACCTCGGAGTGTCACGCTGGTTGAGGGGGGGGATCGAATAAAATTAAGCATATGAACATACTTTTAACTTTTAAAGATAAGACCAATGTCCAGCAGCAGTATTAGAAAACATTCATCTTTAGCAAATTAAATCTCGTCTCTGTCCTTAGCAGAAAATGAGATGTGGTCACCTGCCTTAACTAAGACACTCACCGACATTTGAAAGACCAATATAAAATGGCCCCTCTGCCATTCGATACCCCCTCTCTCTTCCACCTCTCCTTTTTGGCTGGCTTGCCCCACTACCCGTTTTTTCCCCTCTTGGATGAATAACCCCATCCTATAACTCTAATTTTACAGCCTTGCGAGAATCCACTTTCCAATTTTTACAGAATGTTAGGCTGGAAGGACTCTTAGAAATCACGACGCCCAACTCTTTGCTTTCACAAGAAGGTGAAAGCCCGGGCCCAAGGTTACATACACAGTTAGTGACAGAGCTGGCCCCGAAAACTCAGACCTCCTGCTTTTGAGAATTCTCATTGTCTTCTTCTCACAAGAAAGCACGCGGGAGTTTTGTGTTTGAACTGCAAGCTGTCAGAAGGTGTGATGATTTCAAATCAAAGCTAATCAAGGAAACACTGTTTGGGGGTCACAAAGGGACTTTTTTTCCCCTGCTTTTAATTTAGGAACCAAAAACACCCAAGGACACGGAAAGACTTTTTTTTTTTTTAACCTATTCCTGCCGAGGCAAGTGTTTAGACTTTTCCGTGGCCTGCTAGGGACTCTGTAAGGATAAATAAAGAACACTATTCAAATTCCAAGTATTCACACGTGCACACGCGCACATGCACACAAACTGGCAGAGGAGTTAATTAGCAGTACCCCCCCCAGCCCCACACCCAAAGAATCTTTTTTGAATCCCTCCCCCATACAATGTCCTTCATTGCACAACCGAGATTAGCAAATGAGACGTTAGCCATATTTCAGTAAAACATGAACACAAACCACGATGCTTTATCCTGAAGCCAGAGGTGACCGTCGGGATGTTAGAATTTGTTTCATTTTCCTAGATGATTGTCCCCAGACGGCAGGCTCCAAATCCTCAGAACCAATTTTCCATTGCAATACTCGGATCCTTTTGCTGCCCTCCCCCCTCCGCCCCACTCTGGTCAAGTAGCCCAGTTAAGCCCCTGGGCTGTGAGTGGCAGCGGAGTGGGGAGGAAGGGGGTAGAGCCCCAGCTGCAAATCAAAGTTTAAGCTAGAGCGAAAATCAGAGACGAAGAAGATCAACCTGTCACCAGGGCAGGAGGACCCCCGGCCGCGCGGACAGGATAGCCTCCACGCCACTCTCTCTTGTGCAAGAGCGCACAGCCCGTGCACCCCACTCCCAGGGCTTTTAAAGACCTTTGGTACACAGTGTGGAGCCACGATTATGCCTGCCTTTCAATAATTTGCCCACAACTGTGGGTCAGCCGAAGCCAGAAGGAAGCCCTGTCAGCCTTGGGAAGGTTTCTCCTTCCACACCTCCCTCCCAGGTTCGTTCTTCCTTCTCAGGTACTTTGGGTCATGAGAAGCCGGGGGGGGGGAAAAAAAAAAAAAAACAACCAACCAAACAAACAAACAAACAAAAAAAACCCCACCACCAACAACAACAAACAACCCCACACACAACTGACCGGATATCACCAGAAAAATCTCATCGCCAGACAACCTCAGTTCCCCGGATCACAAAGTGTCCCATTCGTTTTGAAGTTTGCAAACTATTCCGCACGCCTACTGGATTCCGACAACTCATAAAAATGATAGCTGCCGAGTTGGACTAACTATAAAGTTCCAGTTGCTTCACCTCCTCTAGCCTCCAAGTTATCCAGCAAACAGAGGTGTGCAAATGCCCTCCCTGCTCACCTGAGTTAGCCCAGGCGCCCCGCCGCCGCCGCCGCCGCCGCCGCCGCTCTTGGCCAGGTAACCCCTACAAAGTCCGCTCAGTCAATGCCGCTGCACAAAGATCCTGGCTTTCTTAACCTGAAAACTATTTGGGCTGTACCAAGCTCTGCTCACAGGGGGAGGTGCCTCGCAGAAACTTCAGGAGCCTTTGCCCCGCCTCGCAGTCAGAAACTGATCCTGAGTCATGAGGAAAATCTGGAAAGCGCCCCCTGCCAGATGTGCAGACGGGATACCCACTCCAGATCCACCCACCAGCAAATTGGAAAACTCAGGAAGCCACGTTTGAAAGCTCTCTCTGTTCCGAGGAGCAAGAGGACTTTCAGGGAGGGCTCTGATAGATTCCTGACTTTTCTGTCCCGGGGTTAAGAGTGCAGATGTGGACATGACTCGAGAGAGGACACGGAGAGAAAAATCTTGGAAGTGTCAACAAAGTTCTCACGGGCCGGGCTGCAGACATGGCCCCTGTACACGGATCTCACTCAGATCCTGCAAGTGAGTGGGAGAGAAAGTGGAGCTGATGGGGCACAGGGAAGAAAAAGTTTGCTTTGTGAAGCCACAGGTTACTTCTGGCCGAGGGCAGAGAGAAGGGAGCATGAAGAGGGAAGGGAGTGGAGTTTGATTCCAAGGCAGTGAGTTGTAGGAAGCCTAATTTCCAGCAAGGGGGCCCTGGCGATTCTGCCTGGCCGCGGGAGGCGAAAAGCAGAGCAAGTAAGTATCTGCTCTGAAAGGCCAAGAGGCTTTGGGGGCTACTTCAGGGGAATACCTGTAAAAGACTCTGCTGCATCCCCGTCAAGGCCCCGTTCCCTGAGACAGTCACTGGCACACAGTCCCAGGGACGCCGCTCCCAGGTGGTTTTGTTTGTTTCAATTTTCACAACCTGCGAAGACTCATCATCTCATTCCCTCCCCAGCTCGCCTGACCAATGGGGTGTCAACCTTTTGACCTGAAATGATCACTCTCGGGCCCCTATCCCTGCGCCAACCCTCCTTCTGGCTAGTTGATTGACAGGAGGGGCGGGGGAAGACGGAGAGAGAGAGTGGGAAGGAGGGAGGAAGGGAGAGAGAGAGAGAGAGAACAAGTGAGCAAGGACTCCAAGAAGGAAAGAGAGTGTGCTTCTCTCTACTCACTGGCCCCATACCATGATATTTTCATGAAACAGAGCTGAGCAATTCTGTGACTCTGGTCTCTGAGACCTCCCTCTTGGCTTTTCCTCCTCTATGCCTAATGGAAACTGAGCTAGAGGTAGGGGGCAATACAAAACACCAAAGCCCGGGAGAATCAGGGCTTTAAATAGTGGCACCCAATTTGGTAATTGAGTGACAGATTTCTCAAGCAAGTACTCCCCATGTTGTGGGATTTGGGCTTTGAAACCAAGCGGGGGGGGGGCGGTGTTTTTTCTGGGGTCATCTTCTTCAGCTGTCTTTTCTACCTCCCTAATTTTCAAATGAGTAGGGAATCATAGAATCTGAGAAGCTCTGTAAAGCAGCTTGTTCCAAGTTTGAGCACCCCCCCCCCCGATCGTTAAAAACGTATTCCTTTGGCTGAGCAAAAATCAGCTTCACACAAACTGTTTCTGATTCCTCTCTCACATGACAGAAGCCTACAATATTTGTCATGTCACCCCAAGCCTTCTGTCCTCCTAAATAGCCTCAGTTCACTTAAGCCATGCTTAATGGGACACAGTTTCCAGATCTTGGCCATTCTGGTTGTCTTCTGAGCAGATCCTGTAGCTCAATTAAATCTGTCTTCCCGGGGCGCCTGGGTGGCTCAGTCAGTTAAGCCTCTGCCTTCAGCTCAGGTCATGATCCCGGGGTCCTGGGATTGAGCCCCGCATCGGGCTCCCTGCTCCGGGGGGAGCCTGCTTCTCCCTCTCCCTCTCCCCCTGCTTGTGTGCCCTCTCTCGCTGTGTCTCTCCTTCTCTCTCAACTCTCTCTGTCAAATAAATAAATAAAATCTTTAAAAAATCTGTCTTCTGTTTCTTGTATGAACTACTATTATTTGCCGGATTCTGTGCTTATACAACTGACTTTTATTTTAACCTAGATGCTGGGCTTTACATGCCTTCCCAAGAACCATCGCCTTGTTTACTTTTTATTTCAGTGTATCCCTTGGAATTTTATTTAGATCTTGAGTCTTTCATGTAAAACATATTGTCTGTATCACTGTTTCTCAACCTTTTTTTCCTGATAACACCTCTAAAGGGCCTTCTAAGACATTATTTTCTAATATTTCCATGGGATTTTCATAGCACAGATGTGCTGTGCTTATGTTTATGTGCTCTATGCATATCTGTGCCCTATATATAAAAAAAAATTTTTTCACTCCCCAAGAAGCAGTTTTTGCCCTCTTGGGGGCGCTGTCACCTCCACTGACAGTGCACACTCTGTATCAGGAAGATTCTTTTATCAGCATATTTGATCAACCAGACTAATACAATTATTGAAGAGATCGAGTCCAGGACTGAACGCTGCACCGTCACCTTGGCGTCCTCCCCTTCTTAACAAGCACTTTTGATAAGACTGCCCAAACTTGAAGCAGCCCACATTGCTTCTGCTCCGACCCAGCTCCTATTTTCCCATCTTCTCCACGAGGATATCATAAGACTTTCTCAAATGTCTCGCTGAAATTCAAATACATTACGCTACAGTATGCCCTTCGTCTACCCTTTTAGATACCCATTCAAAAAAGGAAATGGGTTTAGTGAAGCCTGACTTGCTTTTAGTGAGTTCATGCTTACCCCTAGTGATTTCCGCTCCCTTTCTAAAGCCTTAAAAATCACCGGCTTAATAGTGCATTCTATACTTTTGCCAAAGACCAATGAGGAGATAATAAGGGAGTACTTAGCTGTAATTCTCTTTCCAGTTCAAAGATCATGCTCCTGGATGGAGAGGTTAAGTAACTTGCCCACAGTCGCACACCTAGTAAATTGGCCGAGCTGGAATTTAAATCCTGCTCTGATTCTAAAGTCTGGCTCTTAACCAGCATGCTAAGTAGCTTTCGAGGACCAAATGAGTGGTATGGCCCATAGGTGCTATATGAGTTCCAAAGTGGGAGAGAGCAAGACTCCTCAGCACAAGCTTAGTAAAAGAGGTGAAATTTGAGCTGGCTCTTGAAGAATGAGTAGGATTTGAATAGGAAGAAGGGAGCAATGTGCGCATCTGTGGTAGGATGATAAGAAGAAATTGAGGATAGCATCCCAGGCAGGGGAAATAATAAAGAATAGTTACCAAGTGTCTTGCCTCATAGTGCACTCGGTTGATCGTTTATGAACGCTAAGAGACCACAAAAGGTCAAGAGATCGCCAGCGTGTTCCTTCTTTCCCTGAGGAAGTAGCCATTCCTTCAAGCTCTGTGCTTACTAGTCGTATACCCTTGGGCAAGGCCCAGTCCCCCTGAGCCTTGCTTTCCTGCTCCAGAAAATGGGAATAATGGTAGGCCTACTTTAGAGGGTTGTTGTGAGGATTCCATCAGCTAGTTAACGCATGTGAAGTACTTAGAACACTGCCTGGCGTCTGGTTGGGACTCAACGAATACTTAATGCTGTCATTATTATTATTATCACTATCATTATTACTACTGAGGTTCATTTTTCATTCAACAAACATTTACTGAGCTCCTACTGTATGCTGGATCCGATGTTAGATCCTGGGGTCATAACGGTGAACAATAAGAAACATGATAACAGCCCTCAGGGAGTTAGAGGTCCACCATCTGTGGATTTTGTGAAAGTTTTCTGTCTGTACTATTTTTGGGGGGGGGGTTTCATATTCTGGGTAAAGTGGTACATTTTACTTCTTCAGAAGTTTTGACCTCCTTCAAAAGTTTGTGGGGACAGTGGTAAGGAGCCTTTGATCCAGGAGCCCAGGATTTGTGGAGCAAGTTGCTGGCTACTCTCTCCAAAATGCTATAGATTCTGACTAATTTCATTTCAGCATTCACCCAAGTCTTGGGTTCTGCCTTTTTGTATCCTCCAGCCACATTCCCAGCCCAATCATTTCTCTCATCTTGGGCATCTTCCAACCCTAGATTGTAAAACTGAGTTCTGTGATGGGGAAAAGCCAGCTGCGCCCGGTGTGTGCGTGTGTGTGTGTGTGCGTGTGTGCGTGTGTGTGTGTGTGTGTGTGTGTAGCGGCGGAGGGTGGGGGGGTGGGGAAGATCACGTTAGTGCAGCGTGGGGCAGCAGTATGGGGCAGCACCATTTGGTTTTGGCCAGCGAAGGGCAGTCCTTGCCTATTCTGACATTACAATCCCCCAAGGCCAGTGAGAGTGTGAACAGAAGCCACAGAAGAGGATGGACCGGCAGCTTCCAAACCAAATAGCCTTGGGCCAGTGTGGGGTGGAGTTCAACCAAGACTTTGGGAGGGGGTAAATTGGACGCCTTCCCTGTTGGCCTGGTTAACACAAAAATATGTTTCACTGGGCCGTCGGCAGGACTTCCTTTAATTAAGGGAAGCAACTCATTTGCCTCGTCAACTAAAGGGCTCTAGTTTCTCAATATTAGTCAAAGGAAACCTCTGGCCCTAAATAAATGGTTGCAGTGGTTCCTAATCTCCGACTATATCAATCTATACTCCTCTGCTTGGTCACCGAGGCCATTCCTCCACCGAGGGATGTCCTTGTAGCCATTTGCCGTGATTGGTGTCACCACTACTCCTTGGCGCTGGTCTAGTTTGCCTCTGGGTTCCGTTTCTTAGGGCCGGCCAGCATTTTCAGGAACGCAACCACCACTGGCTGGTGCTGGGGTAGGAAACTCTGGGCTGGGGAAGTCTGGCTCAGGATGATGCTTTGGATATAGATGCCGTCCAAGACCTAAGCCCCCAGAGAACTGAGCATTAGGTACCTACTCAAGGGAGAGTGGGCAAGGTCACAAACAGAAGGCAAGGCGAGGAGGCAGGAACTGAGGTGATCCAGAATCCACAGGGGTGTTGAATGCACATGGCATGATTCAATCCTACTCCCACGTTTTTACTCGAAACGTCCCCCGACTCGGACTGTCT